GGGGTTTTGGGGTTTTTTGGGGGGTTAAAGGGGTTGGTTTGGAGGAAGGTTTATAGGGATGGATGGATAGGGGGAGGGTTCGATGGGGGAGGTTGGAGGAGATTTTTTGAAAATTTTGAGGGAAATTTGGACGGGGAATGGATTATGGAAGGGTGAGGGGTTTGGGGGAGATGGGGGGAGAGGATGGAGGGGGATGGAGGGAATGGAGGAGAAAAATGGTTGGTTGAGGAGGATGGGGGGGTTTTGGGGGATTTTTGGTGGGGGGTGTTGGGGTTTGGATGGAGGGGGAGGAGGATGTTTGGTTTGGGTTTGGAGGGTTGGATTTTTTTTTTTAAATGAAGGGGTTGGGGGGAAAAATGGAGGGGGATTTTGGAAGGGGGAAGGTTTGATTGTTGGAAAGAAAGGGGGGAATTATGTAGGGTGATGGGGATAGGGATGGATGGTTGAGGCAGAGGGGAGTGGAAGGGGTTTTTAAATGAGTTGAGGTTTGATGGAGGGGGGGTTGGGCGATTTTTTGAGGGAGGTTTTTTGGTATTTTGGAAATTTCGATGTTTAAAAGGGAAGGGTTAGGATGGAGGGGAGGTATGTGGAGGAGGGTTGGGGATGATAAAGTTAAGGAAAAGGGGGAGGGAAAGGATTTGGAAAAGGAAAAGGGAAAGGATGGGGGTAAAAGGGAGGGTTTGGTAAGGTTTTGGGGGGGGTTTGTTTTGGTTGAAAAGGGGTTGTTGGAAAGGAGGAAGGGGTTTTTGGGATAAAAAGGGAAGGGTCGGGAAAAATGATGGAATAAAGGGGGATTGTAGTGAAAAGGTGAATGGATGGAGGAAAGGGGGAGGGGAGGGAAAATTGATAAAAAATAGGAGGGATAATTGGGTATGGGGGGATAAAGGGAAGGATTGGTTAAAAGGGAAAAATTGATGGAGGGAGGATGGAGGGAAAGGGGGATAAAGGGAGGGAAAACCAGGGTTTTGGATGGGGGATGGGGGAAGGAGGAGGGAAGGGATGGGAGGGGATATGAAAGGAGGGAGGGATGGTTGGAGGGTAGGGAATAAATTGGAGAGGGAGGGGATTGGATTATGGAGGATGAGGGTTAAAAAGGAAAAGGGAGGGAGGGAAGGAGGGTTTGGATGTTTGGAGGTTTAGAATGGAGGGAATGTTTGGAGGGATGGATGGGTTTAGGAAAATTAAAAGGATTTAAGGGATAAAAGGGAGAATGGAATAAGAGGAGGGGGAGGGATAAAAGGATATTTTGGGGGAATGGGGGGATGATATGGATGGATTTTAGGGAAGGGAGGGATGGATGGGGGAGGGAGGGAAAGGGAAGGGAGGGATAGGAGGGAGGGTAAAAGGTTTTTTTGGAAATAGGATGGAATGGAGGGGAGGATAGAGGAGGGAGGATTTTAGGAGGGATGGATGGGGGATAAAATGGAGGGAAAGGGAAAGGGATGGATGAGGGAATATGGATGGGGGAAAGGGGGTTTTGGGGGGGGGGGAAAGGATGAGGATTTTAGGATGAGGGAGGGAGATGGATGGATGAAAGGAGGGAGGATGGAGGGAGGGATGGGGGATGGATGGGGGATGGAGGGAAGGAGGGATATAAAAAAAAATAATGAGGACGGAGGATGGGGGGGATGGATGGATGGGGGATGTTTTGGAGGGATGGGGGATGGATGGATGGATGATGGATGATAAAAGGGATGGAGGAGGGGGATGGGGGAAGGGAGGAGGGATGGGAAGGGATGGATAAATGGAGGGATAAGATAAGGAAATATGAATGGGGGATAATGGTTGGAGGAGGGAGGAAGGATAGGGAGGGAAATTTATATGGGGGGTTTTATGATGGGGGAGGGGATGGGGGAATAAAAGGGAGGGAGGGAAAATGGATGGGGGAAGGGGGGTTTGAATAATAAAATTGGTTTGGAGGGATGGTTAAAGGATAGATGGAGGGAGGGAAAGGGATGGGGGAGGGGAGGGTGGATAAGAGAGGGATGGAGGGAGGGATGATGAGGGACAAGGGATGGGGGGTTTGGAGGTTTATAATGGGAAATGGATAAAGGATTGGATATGGATAAATGGAAAATGAAGGGAGGGGGGAGGGATGGAAAGGGTTTGAGGGAGGTTTATGGATAAAGGCCCGGATGGGGGATAATGAAGGAAAGGAAGGAGGGGATGGGGGAGGGATGGATATGGATGTGAGGGAAGGGAAAAGGAGATAAAAAAATAGGATGGATGGTGGAGGGGATGGAGGAGAGGGATGGAATGATGGATGAATGGGGGAGGGTTTGGAGGGAGGATGGATGGGGGAAGGGAGGGATGGGATGGATGGAGGGGAAGGGATGGATGGGGGAATAGGGATAAAGGGAGGGATAAAGAGGGTTTGATGGATGGGGGATGGTTTGGATAAAGGATGGAGGGATGTTTGGACGGAGGGAAGGGAATGGATGATGGGGGATGGATGATGGGGGAATATATGGACGGAGGGATAAATAAAGGGAGGGAGGGGAATATAATGGGGAATGAAAGGTTTGGATAGGGAGGATGGATGGATGGTGGATAAGGGATGGAGGGTTTGAGGGATGGTTTAAGGGAATGGGGGAGGGATGATAATGAGGATATATGGAGGAGGAGGGATATGGAGGGATGGATGGTTTGAGGGATGGATAATGGGGGAGGGAGGGATAGGATGGAGGGAATATGGAGGGAAAGGATGATGGAGGGGAGGGAGGGAATGGATGAGGGAGGGTTTGGAGTGATGAAGGGGGATGGATGGATGGAGGAGGGATGGGGGAAGGATGGTTTAGGATAAAAATGGATGGATGATGGAAGGGAAAGGAGGGATGGGGGTTTTTTTGGGAATAAAAGGATGATGGATGGGGGGATGGAGGAATGAATGATGGAGGAATAGATGGATGGGATGGATGGAGAGGGATGGATGAAATGAAATGGAAAAAAATTTTGGTTAGGGATGGAATGATGGACGGATAAATTTGGGGGATAATGGATGGTAAGGACTTTGGGGGTTTGTTTAATGGGGGAGGGAGGGAAGGATGGAATGGGAGGGTTTGGATGAGGGATGAGGATGAAATTAAAGGGGGATGGATGGGGGATTTTGGAAAGGGAGGGAGGGGAGGATGGATAATGGAGGGATGGTTTGGAGGGAGTTTGGAAATATGGATAATTGGAAGGGAAGGATGCAGGGAGATGGAGGGAAAGGAGGGAATAAAGGGATGGATGGATATAAGGCCCGGATGGGGAGGGAGGGAAATGGGGGTTTGGGGGAGGGAGGAGGGATGGAGGTTGGATAAAGGATGGTGGTTTGGATAAAAATAATAGAGGAGGGAGGAGGATGGAAGGATGAAGGATGGGGGGAGGGATGGGGGGGAGGGTTTAAAAGGATATGGATGGGGGGATGGTAATGAATAGGGTTTGGAAATAATTGGTTTGGATAAAAAAGGGGGAGGTGAAGGGATGGATGGAAGGGAAAATGGTTAGGGAGGGGAGGGGGTAAGTGGGAGGGAGAATAATGGGGATAGGATAGATAGGGGATAAATGGAAAAATTTTGGGGGAGGGATGGGGGATGGATGTTTTGGATGGAAAGGGGAATGGTTAGGATGGGGGATAATATGGATAAGGGGAAAAAATTTATATGGGGGTTAGATTTTGGTGGGGGATATAAGGGAGGGATGGGGGATAAGGGTTGGATGGAAAGGAAAAAATTATGGGGAGGTGTTTGGATAAGGGAGGAGGATTATAATGAATAAAGGAGGGAAAATGGGGAATGAGGTGGTATTGGTTAGGAAAATGGAGGGATAGGAAAGGGGATTGGGGTTTTTTTTGGGGATATGAGGGGATAAATGGGGGAAGATGGGGGAGGGTTGTTAAATGGGGGAAAAAAAAGGTTGGGGGATAAGGAGGGGGTAAAAGGAATTTAGGGGGTTTGGAGGGATATAAAATGAGGGATGGATAAAATGAATGAGGGAAGGAGATAGATATGGATGGCCCAATGAATGGGGGATAGAGGGATGGATGGATGATGGATGGGGGGAGGGATGAATGAATGAGGGATGGAATAGAGGGATGGATGATAGGGGGGGAATGGATAATAAATTTAGGATGGGGGAAATGAGGATAGGACATAAGGGAAGGAAAATGGAGGGGATGGAGGATAGAGGAGGGAGGGTTGGAAATGGGGGAAAATATGGGAAGGGAATGGATGAATGGAGGATGGGGGGAGGGACTAATGAATGAATTTGGCCCGCATCACGGGGTTAGGGTGTCTCTAAGGTTTTTTCTCTCAGTTTTTTCTTTTTTTTTTTTACTGATTCAATCTGGGGTTCTATTTTTTTTCAAAAAACCAAACAAAAATTTTCCCTTGATTTTATCCAACATTTGCAGTTAATGATGTGATTCCTGAAAAACATAACAAGAAGCCTTTTTCACACTGATATTAAAATCTGGAACAGTAACCAGAAAAAGATCCAGATGAATCATATCTGGTGCTTAAAATATTAAACTCTGGCGTCATTATTAGAGCTGATTTTCAGATATTCCTCCTTAAGAGATCAAACTTCTAGTCGAGCTCTAATTGCCGTCACTTTTTTCATCTCCTGATGAAAGAATCTTCAGAGTATCTGTTCTCCAACCTGAAAATGGTTCCTTTCTAGCATTTCCTCAGCAGATCTAAGCTAACAGGGAGAGTTAGCCCATCAGGCTGGTTTCAGGGTTTGGTTTCCTTAAATTACTCAGATTAAATGCTTTAATGGATCGGTGGATCCCCACTAATCCTACTTTGTGGAACGGATCTAGGTGGTTCTTCATGGTCGGCTGTCCAGGTTCTGTAAAGAATAGTTCTGTTGATGGCTGTTCTGGTTATTGGGTCAGTTTAACTAAAGTCAGCTTCACCTGGTCTCCGCCTCGGATCATAAAGGGTTAATAAGCTGAGGTATGTTAGGAGGTTCCTGGTCACGGAACCGGGAACCACAGAAAGCACAGAGAAAATGGATCCATCTTCTGAGTCAGAACCCCTCAGAACATGTTTATTTTTATTTTTTTACAGCTGAAAACAATAAAAACATTCCTGTTACAAAACACTAAGATCACTCAGATAAAAACTAAACCCAGCGCCGGTCGAACCAGAACCAGAACCAGAACCAGAACCGCGGAGCAGCAGCGTTCTAGTAGATGGCCTCGTCCATGTTGTCGTCGCTGTCTCCTCCAAAGTCCTCGCCGTTATCGAAGTACGACATGATGTAGTCTGTCTCCTGAGGGACGAAGAAACACAACAGTCAGAACCAATCACACGGGGGGGGGGTTACAGGAACGGACCCTCACCCCCCCACACACACAGGTTCAGAGCTCCGTATAAACATCCTCCCACATCTCAGACGTCCTAAAGAAAAAGGTTTATGCTCTAAATACAATTTCAGTCTGTGTTTATGTGAAGAATTCTTTTTAAACTATAAATTTCAAACGTCAGAAGAGGATTGGGGCAACTGAAAATATAAAAAAGTAAACTGATATTTAAATTTTGCTTCAGAATCATATGGGAGAATAGTCAGAATTCTGACTTTAATCTCAAAATCCGTCTTTAATCTCAGAGTTCTGACCATGACGGAAGAGATTGTAGTACGGAAGAGGATTGAGGAAACTGCAAAAATAAAAAAAAAGTTATTTTAAAAAAAAATTTGTTTCAGTATCATATGGGAGAAAAGTCAGAATTCTGACTTTCATCTCAGAATTCTGATTTTTTTTCTCAGAATTCTGATTTTTTTTCTCAGAATTCTGATTTTTTTTCTCAGAATTCTGATTTTTTTTCTCCTCAAATTATATTAAAATGAAATTCAAAAATCAGTTAACTTTTTTTTGTTTCTGTTGCCCTAATCCTCTTTCGTACTACAATCTCTTCCTTCATGGTCAGAATTCTGAGATTAAAGTAATAATTTTGAGAAAAAAGTAATAATTTTGAGATTAAAGTCATAATTTTGAGAAAAAAGAAATAATTTTGAGAAAAAGGTAATAATTCTGAGATTAAAGTAATAATTCTGAGATTAAAGTCATAATTTTGAGAGAAAAGTAATAATTTTGAAAAAAAGTAATAATTCTAAAATTAAAGTAATAATTTTGAGATTAAAGTCATAATTTTGAGAAAAAAGTAATAATTTTGAGAAAAAAGTCATAATTTTGAGAAAAAAAGTAACAATTTTGAGATTAAAGTCAGAATTCTGAGATTCTCTGAGATCCTGACGTCTTGCGAATGCATTTTGACTATGGGTATGCTGGTCTGACGGGGTATGCTCATCTGACAGAACACCAGCACCCCTGAGGGGAGCTGCTGCAGAGTCACATGCCAAACCCACCTCCTCAAACTCCTCTTCGTCATACTCCTCCTCAGCCTCAGCCTCCTCTTCCTGCTCCTTCTTCTTCTCTTCCTCGCCCTCCTCCTCGGAGCTCTCCTGCTCCTCCTTCTTCTCCAGCGTCTGAGAGGTCATGTGACACAGAGAACGCTATGTGAGAGCGGCTTGAACATCTGAGGCTGCCTGTTTTTTGTCCGACTGGTTCCCAGTGGAACCAGCCACACTTTTACCTCTAGTTTGAGCAGCACTTCCTCTTTCTCACCAGCCTTCTTCTTCTTCTTCTTCTTCATCTGTCCAGACTGCACACCTCCCTGGCAGCTAAGCTCCGCCCCTGAGGACACAGCAGACTGCAGCTGCGGTCACTGGTTCTACGTTCTACATGACGGCAGAACAGAACCAGCAGAATGGAGCAACAGCAGCTGCTACTGAGCAGTAATCAGATTACTATGTTGAGTAATTAGAGTACTGTGGAAGTAATCATAATACTTTGGGATTATCAGAGCACTATTGCTTGTAATAGGAGTAAGGCGTAGAGTAATCAGATTACCGTTTGAGTAATCCGATTACTGTGGAGTGTAATGGGTTTACTGACCGTCTCTGGGTGGCTTCCTGATGTGGACCCAGAGCTCTTTGGGGAATCTCTTCCAGTCTGAAACAGAAACAGCAGAAGGTCTTACTTCTGTGAACAGAACCCGGTTCTCCTCAGCAGGTTCTACAGATCCGGGTTCCCTCCAGGTCCAGTTTTAATTCATCGTCACAAAATTACCTGGCGGAGGCCCAGTTTACAAACACACAGAGAATCATACAAATAATCTAACTTCAAACTTTCCTTTTTGATAAAGCTTATAGTTAGAGATAGCTCAGGTTATCCTGAGCTGTCTCTACAGGTGCTGGTCATAAAATTAGAATATCATGAAAAAGTAGATTGATTTCAGTAATTCCATTTAAAAAGTGAAACTTGTATATTATATTCATACATTACATACAAACTCATATATTTCAGATGTTTATTTTGTTTAATTTTGATGATTACAAATGACAACAAATGAAAATCTCAAATTCATCATATCAGAAAATTAGAATATTACTGAAGACCAATAAAAACAAAGGATTTATAGAAATGTTGGCCAACTGAAAAGTATGAACATGAAAAGTATGAGCATGAAAAGTATGAACATGAAAAGTATGAACATGAAAAGTATGAGCATGTACAGCACTCAGTATTTAGTTGGGCCTCCTTTGGCCTGTATTACTGCAGCAATGCGGCGTGGCATGGAGTCGATCAGTCTGTGGCACTGCTCAGGTGTTATGATAGCCCAGGTTGCTCTAATAGTGGCTTTTAGCTCTTCTGAATTGTTGGGTCTGGTGTATTGCATCTTCTTCTTCACAATACCCCATAGATTTTCTATGGGGTTAAGGTCAGGAGAGTTTGCTGGCCAATTAAGAACAGGGATACCATGGTCCTTCAACCAGGTACTGGTAGCTTTGGCACTGTGTGCAGGTGCCAAGTCCTGTTGGAAAATGAAATCTGCATCTCCAAAAAGTTGGTCAGCTGCAGGAAGCATGAAGTGCTCTAAAACTTCCTGGTATGTGGCTGCGTTGACCCTGGACCTCAGAAAACACAATGGACCAACACCAGCAGATGACAGGGCACCCCAAACCATCACTGACTGTGGAAACTTTACACTGGACTTCAAGCAACGTGGATGAAGTGCCTCTCTTCTTTTCCTCCAGACTCTGGGACCTTGATTTCCAAAGGAAATGCAAAATTTACTTTCATCAGAGAACATGACTTTGGACCACTCACCAGCAGTCCAGTCCTGTTTCTCTTTAGACGCTTCTGACGCTGTCTGTGGTTCAAGAGTGGCTTGACACAAGGAATGCGACAGCAGAAACCCATGTCTTTCATACGTCTGTGTGTGGTGGTTCTTGAAGCACTCACTCCAGCTGCAGTCCACTCTTTGTGAATCTCCCCCACATTTTTGAATGGGTTTTGTTTCACAATCCTCTCCAGGGTGCGGTTATCTCTCTTGCTTGTACACTTTTTTCGACCACATCTTTTCCTTCCCTTCGCCTCTCTATTAATGTGCTTGGACACTGAGCTCTGTGAACAGCCAGCTTCTTTAGCGATGACCTTTTGTGTCTTGCCCTCCTTGTGCAAGGTGTCGATGGTCGTCTTTTGGACAACTGTCAAGTCAGCAGTCTTCCCCATGATTGTGTAGCCTATAGAACTAGACTGAAAGACCATTTAAAGGCTTTTGCAGGTGGTTTGAGTTAATTAGCTGATTAGAGTGTGGCACCAGGGGCCATCAATTTTGAACCTTTTCACAATATTCTAATTTTCTGATATGATGAATTTGAGATTTTCATTTGTTGTCATTTGTAATCATCAAAATTAAACAAAATAAACATCTGAAATATATGAGTTTGTATGTAATGTATGAATATAATATACAAGTTTCACTTTTTAAATGGAATTACTGAAATCAATCTACTTTTTCATGATATTCTAATTTTATGACCAGCACCTGTATAGTTCTGCTGCTATAGGCTTAGACTGCTGGAGGACATAGGGACCCCTTTTTCATCATTCTGCTTCATTCTATCTCTATTCTCCCACTCTGCAGAATCTGTTAGTTCAATCTCTAACGTTCTGCTCTCTCTGCTTTTTCTCATAGTAGCTTCATCTGGTCTGTTCCTGTTTGGCTGTGACTCCATCCTGGAGAGAAATATCAGCTGTGCTGCTGCCATCAACACCTTTGTTTCTAGATGTTGGAGCTTGGCCTGTTTTCCAGTTGGTCCTGTTTCTCTGACTGTGACTAACTGGATGTGCTCTCTTCATCCTCTGACATGGGAGCTGGCTCGGAGCTCGTCTGCCTGGCTGTGTGTTTCCTGGACGGGGCCGCCTGTGGAGCTGATTGACAGTTGCCTTTTGTATCTATGCTTCTTTTTCTATGTCTGCTTCTGTCTCCTTGAACCCCAGTGGGCCTCAGCAGATGGCCGCTCACACTGAGCCTGGCTCTGCTGGAGGTTTCTTCCTGTTCAAAGGGAGTTTTTCCTCTCCACTGTCGCTACAAGCATGCTTAGTGTGAGGGATTGCTGAAGAGTCAATGAGTCGATGCAATCAGCTGGTTTTCCTTAGATAGAAAACTTTTAATCATGTTGTGAATTGGCGCTATAGATATAAGCTGAATTGAATATATGTAAAGAAAATAAAGACTTTCTTAAATTTATTCATTTTTATTTTTTGTTTAGCAGAACAGATTTGGTTAAATCTGTTATTTAATGTCAATATTATATTTTAATAGAATATTTTAACAGATATTTAGTTCATTTATTCCTCTGCCAGCTTTGGGCTCCAAGAACCAAACTGATTTCAGTTTATTCTATCAGCGATTGAACACGTCTCACCTATGATCCAGTCACTGAGGCCGTCCTTCTGCTCGCTGAGGTGATATTTATCCGAGTATCGCTCCACATCTGACAGGAAGTACAGAGAGAAAACTTTCACAATAAGATCAACAAACAGATGCTTTCTGATGTTCCACTGATGGATCCGGACCTCTGTGCACAGTGGGCGGCTGGATGAAGCACGGCAGGCTCCTCATGGCTCCTCTGAAGTCCTGCTTCAGTGCCGTCAGGTACTCTGCCTCCTCACCCCCCGTCAGGGGGAGGGGCTTCTGCTCCATCACCTGGAAAACAACAGAGCGGTCAACTACAGCTCCCAGAGTGCACTGCTGCCAACACTGTTAATATCAGTGGATGTGATTTGGCCTCAGGATGGTTCACCTGAGCAGATCTCAGGGCAGCCATGAGCTCAGAGCCAAACATGGCCGCTGTGTCTCCATGGTTACGCTCCCAAAGCAGATTCTTTTCTTTTTGCTGAAATCTGATTATTTATGGGTTGTTTATTGAATAAATGTAACCTCTGTTTAGGCTGATTTAAGATGAAAGTTCAGCGTTTATTCGATCAGACTTCTGCTTGCCAACGGAAAAAAAGATCCAGTTTGGGTTTAATACTTAAACTATTTATCAAATTAAATTATTAAATTATTTTTAGCAGTACTTGTGCGTTTTAAGATCATTTGAGGCAAGAAAATTATGCTTTTAAGCATCAGTATATCACCCATTTACTGATTTAATGCGTAACTAAAAAAGAAATTTCCGAAGTTAAGGACTGCACCAACCAGCAGACCTCCGAGGTTAACGGCAGCCAGCGCTAACGTTAGCCCATCTGCAGCAGCCAGGGCTAACGTTAGCCCATCTGCAGCAGCCAGCGCTAACGTCAGCCCGTCTGCAGCAGCCAGGGCTAACGTTAGCCCGTCTGCAGCAGCCAGCGCTAACGTCAGCCCATCTGCAGCAGCCAGGGCTAACATTAGCCCGTCTGCAGCAGCCAGGGCTAACGTTAGCCCGTCTGCAGCAGCCATGGCTAACGTTAGCCCGTCTGCAACAGCCAGGGCTAACGTTAGCCCGCCTGCAGCAGCCAGGGCTAACATTAGCCCGTCTGCAGCGTCCAGGGCTAACATTAGCCCGTCTGCAGCAGCCAGGGCTAACGTTAGCCCGTCTGCAGCAGCCATGGCTAACGTTAGCCCGTCTGCAACAGCCAGGGCTAACGTTAGCCCGCCTGCAGCAGCCAGGGTTAACATTAGCCCGTCTGCAGCAGCCCTCTCTCTGCCTAGCCGTGTGTGAAGGACCGCTGGCTCTGATGGAGTTTTTTTTTTGTTTTATTTGGCAAAATGTTCATTTGATTTGTGTTTTTTTTAATGACTGTGTTCATTATTATTTCCCCACTAAATGAAAAAAGTAAGAATGTATGATTATCTAGAGAATATTAATAACAGGAGGTGAAATGCAGCTCCAGACGAGCTGAGCATGTGGTGATGTCATCAGTACGTTTCTGTCCCAAATGACCCATATTTATGCTGCCTGCTCCCATTCTCCCCGAGTCCAGACTTTTTCCTGTGTTCTTCTCAGGAACTTGGCGAGGACACGAGTCCGTTCTCACGTTCTAGTTAATTGAGAAACGACCTATAGTTCACTTCTTACAGAACATCTTCCAGAAAGGGGCGGAGCTTACAGGGAACACAGGTGTGGGCTGCTGCACAGCCGCAGATAAAGCGTCTCCTCTGCTGACCCCCACCGAGTCCGCCATGAAACCAAAAGTCCGGCGGCCGCGTCCACGGCCTGCCATCTCCGCCCAGGGTCAAAGGTCAGAACCAGGACTTGAATTTGGACCCTGACAAAGCAAAGAAACAGAGATTCAGTGACCGGCAGCAGCAGAGCGGTCCGGTTCTGGGACCCAGACCACATGTGATTAGTTACCTTTACTTGAGTAACAATTTGAAAAAAAAAAATAGTACTATTAGGAGTAGGTTTTACTCTGCCGTACTTTTATTTGAGTAATACTCTTGTAAAGTATCGCTAGTCCTACTTGAGTAAAATCTCTGTACTTTCATCTGGGAGTAATTTCAACTATTCCACAGTCAGTTAAACATACAGTAGATATTACCAGTGGAGGTTTGTTATCCTGTCGTAACACATATAGAGTTCTCACTGGAAGGATTTATTTTCTAAGTTTTATGTTGAATATAATATTGGTAAAAGTATTTCTTCTGCACGAAACTGATCTTTCATATTCATGACATTTATTTCTATTCTTTAGGCTTTTGAGTCTTTAAAATGCCAGAACTTGCACATAAAGTCTGTTTGCCAGCATCATTTATAAACATTCAATCTGATGTAATTATCCAACAGTTACCCAGTACTCAATTAGCCTTTCAAACAAATAGTTTTTTAATTATAATTGAGTAAAATTATGTTAAAGTAGTGCTCTTCTCTGATTAGTGAGAGAAGAGGTGCCTTATGGGGGGTTAGGAAGATGCTAAGGGGTCTTTCTGCATGGAGTTTGCATGTTCTCCCTTTGAAATGTGTGGGTTTTCTCCAGGTACTCCAGCTTCCTGCCACAGTCTGTTAGGTTAATTGGCTTCTCTAAATTCTCCTTAGGTGTGAGTGAGTGGTTGTTTGTCCTGTTTGTCTCTGTGTTTCCGTAGACAGCTGGAGATAGGAACCAGCACCATGGTCAGCGCCATGACCCCACTTGGGAAAAGCGGGACAGAAAATAGATGGATGAACTTTATTGAGAAATTTCCCTCTGCATTTAACCCAGTGGGCTCCCATTGTGCGGCAGCAGTGTGGGGTTAAGGGTCTTTGCTCAGGGACGCAGAGTGGCAGTGGGTTTGGAACTCACAACCTCAGGATTTCTAGCTCTATGCCCTGACCATTAGGCCACCACTCCCCTCTAGGTGCAGATATACCCAGAAAACTTTCATCTCTCCATTATTTTTCATGCAGCATCATCTACATTAGAACCATCTGAACTCTCATTTAGATTTATGAAAAACGTAAATAGTTTTAATTCTAATTTAAACTGATTTGCTTTTTTTCATCCAGCATCTGATCTGATTGACTCTCTGCTCCTAAATATTAATTAGCACTAAAATAAACGGAACTAATAAAACTAGAAACATATAATCATCTTCTGATCAGAAGTTTGGATCTGATCCATTTTTTAATATAAGGATTAAAAACAGCTATGATGTTAGAATTGGAGCAGAATCTGATTGTTATGTTTGTTCTGACCTTTTCCGGTTCCGGTTTTATTGATCAACTTCCAGCAGGATTCCTTTCATCCCTTTTTCTAAACCCGTAAAAACATAAAATCTAAACAGAACCAGAGATGTTTTCATGTTTTGGTCCAGTTCTTCTTCTTCCTGTTTACATCCTACCGCCCGCCAGCTCTTCTTCTTCTTCTTCTTCTTCTTCTTCTTCTTCTTCTTCTTCTTCTTCTTCTTCTTCTTCTTCTTCTTCTTCGTCTGATTTGGTGCGGAGCGTCTCGCTGCTGCCACCCAGCGGTCTCCGGCTGACATGCAGCTCGCCTCTTCGGCTGCAGACCGTGGTCAGTCGCTCCCTGATTGGTTCCTGATGCTCTCACTTTAATTTTCCGTGTTTTTATTAATTTTATTTATTAGATACATTTATTTCACTTTTTTAATTAAAGCAAAAGAAAAAGAATCGGCTTTAAAATATCAGAATTTGTTCAATCAGTTGGCAGCAGCTAACTTAGACAATGTAGTTATTACTCCATTAACTTAAAGTTTTTTTTTTTCTCCCATGAAAGCTGCATCAATGTTTCTGTGAGCGGCTGGAACATCTTTTTGGATCCTATCAGCTGATCTCTCTGTTTCCTTCCTGTTCCTGTTCTCATCAGTCGTCTGCTGTCCTGTTTGGGTCTCTGCTAAAGGATTTCTCTCTGGTTTATTTGCTTTATGCAGAACAGTAGCAGCCCTTCAACATGGCCCTTCGCAGCAGAATGGCAGCCCACTTCCCCGCAACTCCCAGTGAAATCCTCTCCAACTTCCAGCAACTGCAGTGACCCCCTCTTTTATATTTTACTCTGACTCTATTCTTTCACTGAATTACAGGGTCTGACCAGGAGATGAAGCTTCTCTTCAGATCTTAATTTCCACAAATCAAAGAATGTTTGAGTATAAAAATTGATGTTTAAAAAGGAATTGTAGGGGACCAGCCAAGGGCCCATCAAGGAAAGTGCACATTAATTATGTTTTGGATAAAAATCCTTTTGCAAAATGCCATCAGAACGCTGATAATATTAAGTGTGTCTCAGCCCCCCCCTTCAGTGTCCACCATATTGGATCAGTCCATTTGCTGCACATGTTCAGAAAGGTCCAAACAGACAGCAGCAAACCATTTGAAAACAAACCATGCAAAGAGCAGTGTTGCCAACTTAGCGCTTTAGTCGCTATATTTAGCCACTTTTCAGACCCCTCTAGCACTTTGATTTCTAAAAAGCTCCTAGCGCCAAATCTAGAGACTTTTTTCTGCTACTGGAGACTTTGGAGACAACATCTAAAAGCAGCGAACTCTGCTCTCCAGAGCGAGTAGATTGGTAACCCCGCCTCCTGTTCTCCTCTATCTTGTCTGCTGTCATGATTCATGCAGCTATTATTTCATCCAAATGAAAAATGGAGAACAGATAAGCAGATCATGGCTTGTCTGCAGTGAAAAGAAGGACTGGATTATTTACTTTGGCCTTTTTGGAAACACAGGAAGGAGCAATCAGCTAAGTGAGCTTAGTGCTTGGAAAAAATCTTTCATTCCTTTAGAGACAGCATGAAAAGTCAGCTGAGTACAAAACATAGAGAGGAAAACAAGAAGAAAAGGGACAAGAAGAGAACAGATAATGGATGTCTATTCTATTAACATTTCTATATCTGTAGAATGGGGCTGTTTTATGCGTTGTCTTCTCCATTCAGAGGGCCCCCTGCCTGTCTTTGCAGAGGGCCCCAATTTTCCTAAATCCGCCCCTGCCCACAGACGGCCACTCTGGGTCCCTGAGCAAAGACCCCTAACCCCCCTCTGCTCTCTGGGCGCCGCACAGTGGCAGCCCACTGCTCCCCTAAGGGATGGGGGTTAAATGCAGAGTGAATTTTGTTGCTCTGTACTTCTGACAGTGTAATGACAATAAAGTTGAATTCTATTCAAATTTTTCTATCTTCTATAAAAATAAATACATGATAAAAATGAACGGACTGTATATAAAAGATTGTAATTGATTGTACAGGCTGTAATAAAATATATGATTTATAGATAATGATAAATTAATGGTAAGTTATGATAAGATTATTTCTTAAATAAGTAAAATTATTTAAATAAATTACATTAAAAGTAATAATAAATTGTTATAAATAAATGTCAAAAATCTAAATTAAATGAACAAGAGATGAAGGATGCATTTTATCAATCAATAAATTAGAAAAAAATAATAAATAGGATGATGATAAATGATAAAACAAATTTTGATACATAAATGATGTACTATAAATAAAAAACAAGATACATAGCGCAATGATGATAGGATTATGAAAAATAAATAATGATCAATTATTAATAAAAACACGTTACAATAAACCATTATGATGCATAATTATTGATAAATGTCTTTAAATAAGGTACATAAATAAATGATGATAAATAGAACAGGTTGAGCTTTCTGCAATTTTCATTTGGTTAACCCTTTAGAGGGTTTAATCATGTAAAGCACTTTGTATTGTCTTTGTACTGAATTGTGCTATATAAATAAATTTGCCTTGCCTTATTTAAAGAAATGTTAAAGAAATGTTTTTCCAGTGTGTCAGATGATTATAACTATAGTCAATATATGTTTATCCTTTCAGTTTATCCCTTTAGTTTTATAAGAAAAACAGACTTTAAACTATCTTAACGAGTGTGTATCCCTTAAGTCATGTGCCAAAAAAATTATTTAATTACTTGTTTTTTTGGTGTTTTTTTAAGCAAATAACGACCTCACCTTAAGTTGTTTTTTTGTACATGGCCGTTGAGGTAGTTTAAAGTGTATTTTTCATGCAAAACTAAAAGGATAAAAGCAAATCTGACGTCACCGTCTCAGAGGAAGGTGTGAATCCTGCATCCCTTCATCATCTCCTCCTCCTGGTCTGATTCTACATTTAGTTATAAACCTTAAAAAACAGGAAATTAAATATTCAAAAATTACAGAATCCATCTTTTCTCTCCTCCTCTCCCTCTTCCTCCCCCATCAGCTCGTTCTAACCCAGCAGCTTCGCTCTGACCTCTGACCCCACCTCCCCCCCTCAGGGTCAAAGTCACCTCCTGGCCCCTCCCCCTTGCAGACACCCCACCCATATGGCCCGTAGGGTTCTGATTCAGTGTGGAGTGAGACTTCAGTCTGTGCAGCATCTGTGGAGTTTCTGCCGCTCCGAGGCTCCGAAGGTGGAGCAGAAAGACGGAAAAGTCAAAGAGAAAGTGAAGCAGAAGTGAAGGCAACTCTGGGAGCGACAGAGGCAGCCTGATTGGGACTCTGGATGTTCTGGATCTTTGGGATTAAATCTGGACCCTGATGGAGATGCTGATGCTGCTGCTGCAGGGACTCTGCTGCTCAGGTCAGACTCTAAGTTATTCTGCTGATGAACATGAAGCAATCCGACAGCAGAAGGCTTTAGTTTGGATGTTTAAAGGACCTGACAGTTAAATGCACTGCAAAAAATGAAAGATACTTACACTGGAAAAAATCAAAACCTAGATAAGTCATTTTTTCCTAAAATAAGTGCATTTGTTTTTGGATTGAGGAGGTAAAAGATACACTTTGCCAATGAAAAGACAATTTACACTTAAAATAAGAAAACACAATTGCATTGTCTCATTTCAAGTGCATATTATCTAATTATCTTATTTTAAGACTAAAAATATTCATTCCTTTGGCAAACTAGCTTATTTACCTGCTCAAATTAAGGGTAAATACACTTAATTTAAGAAGTTTTTACTTACCGTATGTCTAGATTGTTTTTCCAGTGTGTTCAATCTTTTTGAAATAAGTATTTCCTAAAGGTTTAGACAGTTGATAGATTATATTTAAAGTAAAAAACAAAAAAAATCAGATATAACTGCATTATATCAAATAATTTTACTTTAAGGTTAGAACTACTCATTCCATTTGGGAATTTTGGTTATTGACCTTAAATTAAGGCCAAGTAAACTCCTTTTAAGACATTTTTGTTCTTTTTAAATCAATTTTCGCATTTTGGGGTTCTAACAGTGAAAATGTGGAACATCAGGTTCTGATTCCTTTTTTATTTCCTCATCTGGTTTAGATCTTCCCTCCATCATCTTTTACATTCATCTTCATCATTTGCAGTCATATTCAGTAACTCAGAATGTTATAGAAAAGTGATTTAAATCCATCATTCAACTGGAAATTATTTGTTTCTTTACAAGATAAAATAAAACTTATACTGAGAATAGTCAAATAAATTACTTTGTTAAAAGTATAATATCGAATATAAATGTGAAACCTGCTTGTTTCTAGATTTAAACATCTTAAAGCAAGAAATCTTGTTAAGTAATATTATTTTGCTGCAGTACACTGCAAAAACGATCTAAAAATAAGTAAAAAGATCTTGAATTAAGTGTATTAACCCTTAATTTGAGGAGGTTAATGAGATAGTTGAGTATTTATACTCTTAAAATAAGATAATTAGATAATATGCACTTGAAATAAGACAATCCAATTGTGTTTTCATATTTTAAGTGTTAATTGTCTTGTTCAATTGGCAAAATGGCTCTTTTACCTCCTCAATTCAAGAACAGATGCACTTATTTTAAGAAAAAAATGACTTATCTAGATTTAGATTTTTTGCAGTGTAGAAATCATTTTAGTGGTTTTTCCTTGTAATTTTGTTTATATTATTGATTTTAGATGCTCTATGAAGCAGGCCGTTAATTCATTATTTAGATTATTATTCCTGATGGACGTTTTTTTTTCTGTTTTGTGGTTTTTCCATTTTGTTTTTTAATTAAGATATCACATGCAAATGACTAAAAGAAGAAATAAAACAAATATGGATTGAATGAAACCATGTTTAAAACCTGCTTAAAGGTTCATATTTACTGAAACATTCGGCTTTTCTAACAAATGGGGTTTTATCAGAACCAGAATGTCTTTATTTACCTTTTTTGTTTTAATTTTCATCATTTCATTTTATAATTATAATGTGGACACTGCAAAAAATCTAAATCTAGATAAGTAATTTTTTTCTTAAAATAAATGCATTTGTTCTTGAATTGAGGAGGTAAAAGAGACATTCTGCCAATGAAATAAGAAAATTTACACTTAAAATAAGAAAACCCCCATGGCATTGTCTTATTTCAAGTGCATATTATCTAATTATCTTATTTTAAGAGTAAAAAAACTCATTCCATTGGCAAACTGTCTCATTTACCGACTCAAATTAAAGGTAAATTCACTTAATTTAGGAAATTTTTACTTATTTCTAGATAGTTTTTGCAGTGGACTTCTTCACACTGGAAAACATAAACTAGAAATAAGTTAAAATTATCTTAAATTAAGTGTATTTACCCTTAATTTGAGTAGATAAATGAGACAGTTTGACAATGGAATTAGTTTTTTACTCTTAAAATAAGATAATTAGATAATATGCACTCTAAATAAGACAATGCCATGGGGGTTTTCTTATTTTAAGTGTAAATTTTCTTATTTCATTGGCAAAATGTTTCTTTTAACTCCTTAATCCAAGAAGAAATGCACTTATTTTGATAAAAAATTAGTTATTTTTTCCAGTGTGGTGGAACCGACCCAGATTAGCTCTAACTTGCTGGCTGTTGGCGGCGCGGCGCGGCGCGGCGCGGCGCGGCGCGGCTCCATCAGTGAACGTGTGAATAAATGCGGTGAAAGAGTGACTGAGGTGTGAAAAGCTCTGTAGGTCCAACCTGAGACGCTCAGGTGTTTTCCTGCAGGTGAACAGGAAGTGACACGCTTTGGGAGCAGACAGGCAGTCTGGGTGACATCTGTCCTCCATTTTTGGGGTGGGGGGGGGGTCTCTGTCTGGTTCCCAGGGTTTCGGTCCTGAAGGATTTATTGTGGGGGAGTGAAGTTCATGTTCAGAGACGATGGGTGGGAGGGGGTATCATCACCCCTGAACCCTGACTGTCGATGGGGGGGGGGGACCTGAGGTTCTGCTCACCCATCTTTCCTCTCAGCTCTTTGGACCAGAACCTTCAGATGTTTATCAGGTTCTGACCAACATCAGATGAAACTGAACAGCGGAGGATTGATCTGCTGATTCCAGCGCGAGGCTGAAGGTGGTTCAGGTCCAAACCCTTCTGGGCTCAATCTTACCAGAACTTCTGATTTCACACTTTATTCCCCCCCCAAAAAAAGGACAGTTGGACGGTTCTGGTCCATAATGATCCACTATGATCAGAAGTACTGAAAGGAAGCAGAACCATGGGTTCTGAATCATTAGACGTTGCTGTGACCCAAAGTCCAACCGGTTCATCAGCAGAACCTGTTCTGGAGCTTTTTCTTTCCTCTGAATCAGGTCCTTTCAGAACCAGAACCTAAAACCAGCAGTGAAACATAACCTGAAGCTGGAAGGTTCTGGAGCCATTTGGTTCTGCTTTGGCTCCGGGTTCGGTCTCTGATCTGGGATCAGGCTTCCTGACCATGAACTTCAGTCTGATGAATGATGAACATTTGTTTGGAGAAACAAAAGTCTGAGGAGCAGCTGAAGGTCTAGGGGGTTCTTGTGGGGATTCTGGAGGGGTCTGGGGGGGTCCAACAGCTGCTGCCTTTAGAGTGTTTGTTTGGGGGGGGTTGGCTGTTGTGTCTGGAGGGTCTGTTGTTTTCTTTCATGCTGAGGATGTTGGGGGAGGTTCCTGAGGATCTATGGAGGTGTCAGGGGTCAGGGGGGGTGCGCTGACATCACGGCTCACTGATGTGGGGGGGGGGGGGACTGTCAGATGGAATATAAAATAGAGAGATGGATGGAAGGAAGGTGAGGCCTGAAAGTTCTGCTTCCCTCACTGGATTGGACCCAAAGGTGACAGAACCATTAAACTTCCAGGTCCTCCTGAGAGGAGAAAACATCAGAAACAAAAAAGCTCAAACACAGAGCCTTTGAGTCCGATGTTTGCAGACTCATCGATATCAAGTGAGGAAGGGGGCGGGGCTTCAGGACACGTCAGTCAAACCTCTACAGAGTTCAAGTGCAGAAGGACCCGACCCGCCAGACTCAGGTCCGCTCTGCTGTCTGTGAACATCTCATTGCTTCTGCAGCAATAATCAGAACCGAAACACAGATCCGAACAGAGGGGCGGACAGGATGAGGTCGAAGGTTCTTCTTCTTGAACCCGAGGAAAATAGTTACGACTGATCCAATCAGAACCGGAGAGGTGACTGAGCACCTTCTGGTGTCAATAAACTCACTGCTGCAAGGATTGTTTATGGTTCTGGGCCAGTTTTCACCAAGAACCTCCGACTGAAAGCAGCATTTAATGACGTCAAGTTGATAAAAATGTTCATAATTCCACCATTTTTTTAAGATTTTCCCCTCTGAGTTCCTAAAGAGAACAAACCTTAAGAGGAGTGAGGAGGAACCTTAGTGAGAGGATGAAGGAAACAGAGACAGCTGATTGGCTGATCCACCACACTGCAAAAAATCTAAATCTTGATAAGTAATTTTTTCTTAAAATAAGTGCATTTGTTCTTGAATTGAGGAGATAAAAGAGACATTTTGCCAATGGAACAAGACAATTTAGATTTAAAATAAGAAAACACAATTGAATTTTCTTATTTCAAGTGAATATTATCTAATTATCTTATTTTAAGAGTAAAAATACTCATTCCATTGGCAAACTATCTCATTTACCTACTTAAATTAAGGGTAAATACACTTAATTTAAGAAATGTTTACTTATTTCTAGATCGTTTTTCCAGTGCAGCTACATAGAGGAGAAAAAGAGGACAGAAAGTTGTGAAACAATCACGTAATTATTAATATGGAGATAAGATGAACTTCATCATCATCAGGGGGAAATTATTTAGTTTCAGCAGCCAGGCAGGTTTAACGTTCACCTCTAGTAACATGGTTTTATTGAGGATAAATAAATAAGAAACAATTAAGTACTAAAAATAATAAAAATTATTCTCAATAATAAATGTTTTAAAATAATTTGAAAAAGAATAAAATCAATATACCAGATACAGTCCAATAACTCCGGTCCATTCCAGGCTTTTTCTAAAAGCAGAGAGAACCAAGTTTACCTTCAGCTCCTCTATTCTCCTCCACCAGCTGCTCCAGCAGCAGGTTCACTGGAAAATATCAAAATCTAGATAAGCCATTTTTACTTATAATATGTGCATTTGTTAGTGGATTGAGGAGGTAAAAGAGACAATTTGCCAATAGAACAAGACAATTTACACTTAAAATAAGAAAACACAATTGCATTGTCTTATTTCAAGTGCATTTTATCTAATTATCATATTTTAAGAGTATAAATACTCAACTATCTCATTTACCTGCTCAAATTAAGGGTAAATACACTAAATTTAAGACATTTTTACTTATTTGTAGATCGTTTTTCCTGCTTTCTCCTCCATCTTTTATCCATATTTGGTCGTTCTTCGTAAATCAACCCTTTTCCTAGAAACAGCCAATCAATGAAGCGCTGACAGTGGAATGAAACATTAAATAGATCCATGATGAGGAGGAAAGGTCTGTAGAACCGGATGATAAAGTTTATCAGTGAGGCAGAAAATGAACCAAAGAAATGCAAACCAACAATCAGACTGGAAAGAAATCTCCGAACTCTAACATCTTCCGAACCCCTAGGTGGCGCTGTGACGTCACACCAGGTAGGTTGGTCACATGACAGGAGGTCTAAGCTGGAAGCCATGTTTTGCTCTGATCGAAAGTGTCAAGTTTTTATGCAGAGTACTGACTGCAGATGTGACCTGAATGTGCCCAGAAATCCTGACATCATCATCATCATCATCATCATCATCATCATCATCATCATCATCATCATCATCATTATCATCATCATCATCATCACCATCATCTTCATCATCATCATCATCGTCATCATCATCCATCCTTTCGGTGAGTATAACGCATGTTTTAAGCTGCCTACCTGAATAAGGTTTGTGGGTTAAACTTTTGACCTGAGTTTTGACTGCTGGAGGTTTCTTCCTATTAAAAGGGAGTTTTTCCTTTCTACTGTCGCTATAAGCCTGCTTAGAGTGAGGGATTTCCTTCGAGTCAATAAGTCGATGCAATCAACTGGTTTTCTTTAGACGTTTTGTGAATTGGCGCTATAGAAATAAACTTAATTGAATTGCTACCAACTAAGGTTCTGACCTACCTGCCTCCCTTCAGGTGTGCTCGGAGCCCTGGAGCTTGCCTTTCTGACCGAACCGAGGGATGTAATCGCAGTCAGGGACCGCCCCTTGATGCTGCACTGCCAAGTGGAGGGGGAGGGGCCTATCAGCATCACCTGGAGACATAACGGCGTTCCCATAGTGACAGGCGTACGGGCGACAGTGCTGAAGAACGGCACGCTGCTCATCAGGAACTTCTCCAAGAGACGTGAGAGCAACGAGACGGATGCAGGAGAGTACGACTGCGCGGCAGAGAACCGCTACGGGTTGCTGATCAGCCGTAAGGCTCGAGTCCAACTAGCCTGTGAGTCACAGCATCATGTCGCCTAAACAGAGATCCGTGGATGGTCACTGAACGCCCCACACAGCAAACTGACCCGTCTCCTTTCCCGCAGCTCTCCCGAAGTTCCTGACCCATCCACAGTCCCTGGCTGTAGATGTAGGCGGTGTGGCCAGACTCAGCTGCCAGGTGAACGGGATCCCTGAGGCCAACATCACCTGGCAGAGAGACCGACGCCCGCTGAGCACAGCTGACCCCAGGTGACCCTCACCTGCCGATGCCCACACCGTGTTTATATATCAGGACATACATGTATCCTCAGATTCTCACTCTCGACCTTGTCTGCAGGTACACTCTGCTCCCCAACGGCGTTCTGCAGATCACCGGCGTTCAGCGCTCCGACAGCGGCTTGTTCCGCTGCGTCGCCTCAAACATTGCCAACACACGCTACAGCAATGAGGCGCAGCTATCCATCAATGGTAAAACCACAACCAGGGAGAGAAACCTCCTAACCCCAAGGGTCAAGGGTTAAACCAAACTGAGGGTTAAAAACCCAAAATGTCTGATCAAACTCTGAGTTAAAAAGCTCTGGATTTCAGTTGTGATGTGAATGCCAACCAATCCATTTTTTTTGTGTTTTTTTATGACTGTAGTTGCAGGATCCAGGGTCTACAAGGAGCCCGTCATCCTTTCAGGACCTCAGAACCTCACCATCAACGTCCATCAGACCGCCATCTTGGAATGCATTGCAACAGGGAACCCTCGCCCCATTGTATCCTGGAGTCGCCTAGGTAACAGCATCATCATCACTCTGCATCGTTAACGGGTCAACTGATCCGCACTGACCACCGGTTCTTACGTGTCCTGTCCTGTACAGATGGCCGGTCCATTGGGGTGGAGGGGGTCCAGGTTCTGGGAACAGGCAACCTGATGATATCTGACGCCACGCTGCAGCACTCAGGAGTGTATGTCTGCTCAGCCAACCGGCCGGGCAGCAGGTCCAGGAGAACTGCGCTGGGACGGCTCGTAGTTCAAGGTAAACAACAACAAAGAACAAATTTGTCTACATTTTAATTAGTGTCGTTAATTTCTTCTAATTTACAGCAAAAGTGTTTAAAAACTAAACAGGTCAATATTTTTATAATCAGAATAACAATAAGAAGGTTTGAAGTAAAACTCATACATAATAGCGGTGGTTCACAAACTGAGTGGTGCGCCCCCTATGTGGGGTATAATGTAATTGCAGGGCGACATGGTCGAAACGAATTGAATAAATGAACCAATTTGAGGAATTTTTTGCTGTTTTCTTAATGATGGAACCTAGACGGGACCTAAACCTGGCAGTTACATGTCTAAATGCATCTAGCAGCTATAACCCCATTTACACTACCCTGTGAAAACCGATCAATGCTGAGCTTAGCCTCGTGAGACCATCCTGATCTCGCGAGCTTTCAAGGTTTCACTCGCAGATCAGTCTGGAGACTCTCCGTTAAAGAAAATTTGGAGCCGTTCACCAAACGAACGTCCAATCAGCGTTGGCTTTGAGGCGGGTTGAGGTGTGACGCAACGAGAAGCGCGACAGTTCAGTCTAAAGAACATGGCGGCTTCAGCCAATGAAACTAGCGTTAGCGTGGCTATCGAGCAAGTTTTATGGGAATTACAGAGTATTTCTTCACTGAAAGAAGAGCAAAACACTGCTCTGGAGGCTTTTCTCAGAGGAAAAGACGTTTTTGCTCTTCTCCCGACTGGTTTCAGCAAGAGTTTGATCCATCAATTGGCTCCTCTTCGTCGTCGCTCTGTTAGTACGTAATATGCTTCGTTGATCTCATTGGTTTATTTGGCCCGTCTATCACCAACATAGATCAATCAGCTAACCAGTATTTTCGCCCCTTCCCAAAATTTCTTCAACGGAAGGTTTCCAGATGTATTTGCTCCGCATATCCATCCGGAGTCAGGTTATGCCTATCTTGATTCTTTACGACCATTTACACATCACAGTAGCGCGGTTTCGCACCTCCTAGTGGCGATCTATGGTACTACAGCTCTCTAGAGGTAAGCAAATTAACATGGTGGCACGCGTAACATTCAGGAAGTTTGCAGAGAGTCAGGACAAGAAGGCAGCCTTTGGTGAATTTACTTGACGGAGTCGGCCTTTGGGAAGTGGTTTACAGACACAGGAAACACCGACAGACGTTGAGGTTCATCACACTGCTAAGCAGAATCATTACTGGAAATCGTGTGGCACGGTAGGGAAGCTAGGATTTTAAGGAATGTCGGAAATGTAATGATTACGGAGGCTGACTGTAAGGAGATGAAGCGGTCTGCTCAGGAACCGAGCCAGAACTGAACAGTGCCGAGCCCTACTGATGGAGTTAGCGCAGTTCGGTTGATTCTGGCACGGTCTGGTTCAGTTTTGCATGCCATTTACACTCAACAGTTATCTCGGTTACCATGCTCCGATCGGATGATCTCGGCACGGTTTCAAAAGGGTCGCGTTAAAGGGACTTTAAAGTCACAGTGTTGCTTTAAATGAATCTTCATCTGGCCTTTCACTAATCCCATCCATCTGAAACTGTTTTCACATTCATATTAAATACCTTTTATGAGAAAATTATTAAATGAAGCTCCTTTGAACCCCTTTTCATGTCCTTTTTTCTCTTGCACGGGTATAATGAAAATTTAACTTACATGTATTTTTCTCATGTGGATGTAACTTTTGCCACATTTGCTGTTAGCCATGGTTCATTTAACATCTTTTCCTGGTTGTTGACAAATAAGTAAAAAGTTACAGAAGCAGCAACACTAACCAACTGCCTGCAGGTGAGTCCCTGCACTGGAAATTTAAATCTAGATAAGTAATTTTTTCTTAAGATAAGTGTGTTTTTTTCTTGTATTGAGGAGGTAAGTGAGACACTTTGCCAATGGAATATGGGAGCACCAAGAACATTTACATTTGAAATAAGAAAAAAAAACTAATCAATTGTCTTATTTGTCGGCCTCAGCAGATGGCCGCTCACACTGAGCCTGGTTCTGCTGGAGGTTTCTTCTTGTTTAAAGGGAGTTTTTCCTCTCCACTGTCGCTACAAGCATGCTTAGTGTGAGGGATTGTATTTGAGTCAATGAGTCGATGCAATTGACTGATTTTCCTTGGATAGAAAACTTTGAATCAATCTGACTGGATGATCTGGGTGAACTGGAAAGTGACCTGAGATGACTTGTGTTGTGAATTGGCGCTATAGAAATAAACTGAATTGAATTGAAAATTGAATCTTATTTCAAGTGTATATTATCTAATTACCTTATTTTAAGAGTAAAAATCCTCATTCCATTGACAGACCATCTTATTAACCTACTCAAATCAATGGTAATTACACTTAATTTAAGACATTTTGACTTATTTCTAGATCGTTTTAGCAGTGTGCAGGTGAGTCCTGATTGGTGGAACAGAGATGGGAGTTTTGCCAGCAAGGCAGGCTAATGTTAGCATCCTTCTAGGAATGATGTCAATAAAGGGGGAGGACCAAATCGCTCTCTTGTTGGTTTTCCTAGTTTGAATAAATAATTTATAGGGGTTATTTTTTTAAAGAGTTATGTTTAAAGAGAAAAACCAACCTTAAACAGAGGGAGGAAAACGTCTCTAAACTTGGAATGCAAAGTCCAGTGGATTGTTTTTTAACTCTAACATTTTGGAAACTATAGGGGGAAAAAAGCAATTCACATTCCCACTTCGGATTTTCCTGCAGGTTTTAATTGAAGCACGACACCAACACTTAAACGTGAAAGAGTCGGATTTCCAAGTGATAAAAACTTTAAGAATAGTTGTTTTCTTTTCATATCATATTATTCAGCTGAATCATCAAGTTTGAGCCCTAGATTAAATTAGAAAGGGTAGAGAAACCCTTTGCTGCCTTGGCTCGAAAGCAAGATGCAGGAAAATGTCATTATCATATAACAGAGCAAAAGGAGATGTTAACTGAGACCTGCACACAGGTTTTGAATTATTAGCCAAGCTTTTGCAGTAGATGATGTCGAAGACATCAGTTTTTACCAAAAATAGAACAGTGGAAATTAGACACAGAGCTCTATATATATATATCATGTCAGAGAGAAACATGTTTCTCCACTAAGGCGGCAGATGCTCTTATTTGGGAGCTGAGTTGATACGGTCTAATGTCTGGGAGGGGGAAGCCCCCCCTTTGAGGAAACACAGTGTAGCTTTTTTTAGATGAGGCCGTCCCTCTGACAGATAAACAAACTAAACCACCTCTGCAAAGCTCTATACATTAAAAACATATTCAAAGTTTCTTTTTGGCCACAGAAGTGTAATAATTTCATTTTTAAATAAATTCTGTTCAGTTTATTTCTATAGCTCCAATTCACATCATGTCATCTCAAGGCACTTTCCAGTTCACCAGATCATCCAGTCAGATCGATTCAAAGTTTTCTATCTAAGGAAAACCAGTAGATTGCATCGACTCATTGACTCTAGCAATCCCTCACACTAAGCATGCTTGTAGCGACAGTGGAGAGGTAAAACTCCCTTTGAACAGGAAGAAACCTCCAGCAGAACCAGGCTCAGTTTGAGCGGCCATCTGCTGAGGCCAACTGGGGTTCAAGGAGACAGAAGCAGACATAGAAAAAGAAGCATAGATACAAAAGGCAACTGTTAAAGGCGGCCCAGTCCAGGAAACACGCAGCCAGGCAGACGAGCTTCGAGCCAGCTCCCATGTTAGATTTCCCATCCAGTTAGTGACGGTCAGAGAAACAGGACTACACTGAAAAACAGGCCAAGCTCCAACATCTAGAAACAAAGGTGTTGATGGCAGCAGCACAGCTGATATTTCTCTCCAGGATGGAGTCACAGCCAAACAGGAACAGACCAGATGAAGCTACTATGAGAAAAAGCAGAGAGAGCAGAACGTTAGAGATTGAACTAACAGATTCTGCAGAGTGGGAGAATAGAGATAGAATGAACCAGAATGATGAAAAAGGCGTCCCTATGTCCTCCAGCAGTCTAACCCTAAACAGTGATGGGACTAACGGCGTTGAAAGTAACGGCGTTACTAACGCCGTTACCTTGTTTTAGTAACGAGTAATCTAACTAATTACTTTGACTGTAACTATAACGCAGTTACCATTGCAGGCACCCCGTTACTGCGCGTTACTTAGGTCGCGCAATGAACCTTTTTTCATGATAGGACTCGTGCGCAGCTGCGTGAAGCTGACACCCCACCCACGTCAAAAAACTCTGCAAATAGACTGAATGGTTAGTGCAACGTTAGTGCAGATTTGTGCAGAAAAAAATATTGTTTGTGCTACTTTTGTTTAAGAGATATTAAAGATTTATTTTAGGTCATCCAGAGGTGCGCGCCTTGTCATGAGAGAGGGGAGGATGAGAATCCGTCTGTCAGTTGAATAGGTGGGTGTTTCTGCTGGCGGGTGTTAACGTACAGCACACACAGAGAGATGGAGAGTGAGGATGACTCCAGCAGCAAAACAGCGTTTTCCACATGGAAATACCGGTGTTACGTAGAGCTGCGTTTCCCCATCACATAACGGTTTCCTCTGCATCTCCACACAGCGCAGGCGGCACGAGTCACCGCGCAAGCGACAGGAAACGCGCATGCTCGCTAAAGGCGCGCAACAGTCGCTCTGTGCTCGCGCCACAGGAGAAGTATGGAGAGCGTGAACGATCAAATGAACCTGACAACAGCCAGAAATGATAGCCTATATGGAGAAAGGGAGAAATCTGGATGGATGGATGGATGGATGGATGGATGGATGGATGGATGGATGGATGGATGCTCTGCCTTCTCAACCTACTGTATTTTTTATTTTAAACATTATTTGATGGCCTTTGTGGCAGGGATGGAGATCCATATTTTATGTCACACACAGAGTATACATCTAGATAGATAGATAGATAGATAGATAGATAGATAGATAGATAGATAGATAGATAGATAGATAGATAGATAGATAGATAGATGTTGCAGTATCTATAACAACCCAAACACACAGGATTTCAGAATTAGA